AAGTTAACTAACTAAAATAACTATAAATAGTAATAATAAATAATACATATAATAGAAATAATATAAATAGTATAAATAAAATATATAATAGATATAATAGAAATGTAAGATATGATGGATATAATATATAGAAAAAATATAATAGAAATAGTAGATATAGTATATGGCGTATAAATCTTTAATTTTGGGCACAGAATAGATTGTTACATGATCATATGCCTTTTGTAGATTACACGATTTGGAACTTTCATAACTTGGTATCTAGTAATCGAATTTGGATGATCTTTAGCTTGTTGAATTCATCTCGATGAGCTGATTCTAATAATATATATTACATCCAAATTGGTTTAGTGGTTCAAAAGTTATTAGCAAAAATGTAAATTTTACTATTATAACATTCTTCCCCACTTAGATTTGAACTTCATGAAAATTTTATTGTAAAAGGGCTTGGTAGTCTGCATGAGAGAGACTAGCTACTATAGCTACTGTTGTATGAGATGTTCTAGCAATCTGTTCAGCTCCTCCCATATTAAAAAAGATATTATAAGTTCTTATAGCAGCCCTATAGTAATAAGTAGTAATCTTTCTTCTACTCATTCTTCTTTCTTCTGGGTACTCCTCTAACAACTCTCCAAAATAGTATGCATAAGATAGTTGTTGTTTTCTTTGAGAGGATCTGGTCCTTAATAGTTTTCTGTAGGTTGTAATGACTCTTTCTTGTAACTCTATAGAGTCAGTAATAGGTCTTGAAATATAGTTAATATTTGAAAGAAATGTTACTAAAATATCAGAGAAAATATTTTGAAAATTTGTAAAAGACATTTTGAGGAAGGGAATGAGAGATTTAAAGGCTATTTTTATTGCTCTGTTGGGTTATAGTTATCTCAAGTTGCCACAAATTTCTATCATAGTACTTTTTTAGTAATAGGGTATTATACAGTGCTTGTAGGACTGTTCTACCTTCTGTTTTCAAAATATAAACATTATGTGCTACTTTTTTATGCACAAGATAAGGCCTTTTCCATTTTGGTAATAATTTGCTAGAGTAATATTTATCTCTTATTGTATCATATAATAGAACTTTATCTCCTATTTCAAAAATTGGTTTTACTTTCTTGTACTTTTTATTCCAATAAAATTTTTGTTGTTTTTGAACTTTTTTAATATTATTCTTTGCTTGAATTTTTTGTCAGTGCACTTCTTCAATCAAAGAGTATAATCTAGTAGAAAGAGTCTCTTCTATAGAGTTTTCTATATCAAAAATTAAAAATTTTGCTTCTCTTCTATAGGTAAGGTAAAAAGGTGTGAACTTAGTAGTAGCTTGCTTTGCAGTTTGATAAGCAAATAAAACTAATAGAATAAAAGTATCTCAGTCTTTTCCATTATCAGATAATTTTGCTAGAGATTCACATAATGTTCGATTAAATCTTTCTACTAGTCTATTTGTTTGAGAGTGATATGGGGTAGATAATAAATATTTGATTTCAAATTTCTGAATAAGAGCTTTGACTAATTCATTATTAAAATGAGTTCTTCTATCAGATAGTAAGTATGAAGGACATCCATGTCGACAATTATATCTTTATAAATAAAATCTACTGTATTTTTAGCATCAGCTTTAGGTACAGCTTTAGCTTCTGGCTATTTAGTCATATAGTCAGTAGCAACTATAATATATTTGTTTTGTTGTATAGTAATTAGTAGTGATCTAACAAAATCTATACTAATTTGATGAAAAGGTGCTTCTACAGGAATTGGTTGAAGAGGTCCAAGTATTTGATATTTTCCTTGCTTTTGACAAGTATCATATGTTTGAACATAATTTTTAATATATTGATATATTTGCGGCCAAAAGTATTTATCTCTAATTTTCTCAAACATCTTATCTGTTCCAAGATGTGCTCCAATAGGGTGATTATGCATTAAGTAGAGAATAGATTCTACTTCATGTTTTTGAATTACTTTTAATTCTTGATAAGTTTTCTGTTTTCTTCGATCTTGTTTGTAAAGTTGATTATTCTTGATAATATAGAATTTACTTTGAGATTCTAACTGTTTCTTTTGATTTCTTGAAAAATCAGTAAGAAAATTTGCTATTCCTAAGAAATATTTAAGATTACAGTAGGTGATTATATCCATCTTGAAATGTTTGCTAGGATACTGATAACCTAGACTGAATTTTCTTTTATGTCAGCTTTAGAGAGTAAAACAAAATAGTAAATTGAATAGAGCTCCAGCCTCACTCTATACTGTCTTAGACAATCAATAATTCTAGACCCAGGAGAAGACTAAGCTAATAATATAATGTCCTATAACTAATATAAATATGTATATATATATATTTATTATTATTATTATTATTTTTTTTTTTTTTTTTTTTTTTTTATATTAAATATAAAATATAAATTAAACTAAATATAAATTCGAATTAATATTTATAAGTTGTTGGATTAACAACTTTCTACTAAACTGCATTACAAAGATAATGTTCTGAATAATTATTAAATTCAAGAAGATGTTCTAGTGAAAGTGTTTGTAAAGGTGGTAACCCCTAGGAATGTGTTGACAAATGTTGTTCCAAACTTATTTCTTCTATATCTGAATAATAGTCAATATTTATACTAAAAGTATCAATTTTTTCATTAGTATCATAATTACTAAGAAGATATTCATTAATCAGTGTTTCATTAAAAAGAATTTCAACAAAAGTGCCATTAATAAGATTTATTTCAAAGAGTGTTTCAAGTGTAGTATTTTCTTCATTATTAGAGACAGGAGTAGGCTAATAACTTTTAGCAATTTCTTCTAAACAATATTGCTGAATAGTAAGCTATAATTATAGATCAATTCGGCATTTAATACATTCATCATTGAGTGAGTATAATTTATTACCACACTAACATTGTGTAGCAGGTCTTTTTCAATCTCTTGGCCAAGCATATTTTCCAAAAGTTTGTTTTAACTGAAAACTAATATGTTCAATATAATACCCAGTACAGTACATTCCATTATAATGAATTCCATTTGAGGTAAACTCTATATTTTGATATGAAGTCAAACTATAATTTTCATATAAGATTAGTTCCAGAGTTGTTATTATATCTTGGTAGTGATTAGGGTTCATTAGAGTTAGAGGGTTTGCAGGAGATTCATTATCAATAGCCATCATGAAAACTTCTTCCTTATAGTTTTCAAAAGTTTCATAATACTGAGGAGGTAAGTTTTCTGACAACATATAAGCAATTTTTGTAAGGATACTTGTTTTAAAGTAATCCATGCTTTACAATCAGCTTCATATTGATAATATTTACTACTTTGTCTAAATAAGATATTCCAATACTAGCATTAAGTATTAGGGCCTTTCTAACTTAAAGATCTAGTTACTTTTCCTTGAGTTTTTTTGAACTTCTCATTTAAGAAGTAAATATAAGTTTAGTCAAATTCTGCTTTATTATCAAATTTAAATCCAGTTTTTGATACTTCTATTTTATAATGAGGTTGAGTATTATATAAAGCTTGAGGAGGTAATTGTGTTCTAAGAATATTAGATAATTATTCTACTCTTTAATTTCTATATAAAGAAAACTCTAAATTTCTTTGAATAGCAGCTTGTAAAGATTCTTCTTCTGACGGTAATTTCTCATTATCAACAGATAACATATTAATAGGTTTTTCATACATTCTTGATAATGTATTAGCATTACTATGTTTTCTTCTAGTATGATGAATTATTAAAAATTATAAGGCTCTAATCTCATAATCCATCTTGCTCTTTTCCCTTTCAATTCAGTTGTCCTTAACTATTTCAAAGTAGCATGGTCAGTAATAAGAAAGAATGGTTTAGCTCCAAGATATTGGTGAAAATGTTCAATTGCCCAAATTACAGCTAGGCATTCTAATTCAGTAGTAGAATAATTTTGTTCAGCATTATTCAGACTTCTACTAGCATAAGCAATAATATATTCCTTATTATCATCATCTAATTGTGATAGAACAGCTCCTAATTCTGAAGTTGAGTATCAGTATGTAAATAAAAAGGTCTATTAAAATCAGGATATCATATGATAGGATCAGTTATAAGATGATTCTTTAGAGTATTAAACACTTGTTCATGTTGTTCTGTTCAAATATATAGTTCGTCTTTCTTTAATAGTTGGTTTAAAGGTTTAGCAATTTTAGAAAATCCTTGAATAAATCATTGATAATAGGAGGCAATTTCTAGAAATCTTCTTAATTGTCTAAGGTTTGTTGGTACAGGAAAGTTTTTAATCTTTTTTACTAATCTTTCATCAGTTCTAATTCTATCTTTTCCTACTATATATCCTAGGAATTTAATATTATTTAGAAAGAAATAACATTTTGCCAGATTTAATTTAAGGTTGGCTTCTTGAAGAATAGTAAATATTTGTTGTAC